TTAAAGTGTTGACGGAGCAGAAGAAGAAAAGAATTACTGATGGTCATATGTAATTGTCAATCACAGCAAACATCATATGGACTGGATAATGGAATGGGAGACACATAATTTATATAAATTACACTTGGAAATAGAAGATTTAGGTGACAATAATGATTATGTTATAGATGAAACCACTGAAAGCTAAAAATAAAGGAACATACAAATAGCTGAATTGGAAGGTCAGAAAGCTAAGGGTAGAGTAATACTGTTAATAATAAATAGATGCGTAGTTTACATTATGTAATAACTTTCGCCTACATGGGGCGAAAACTATTGTGTCTAACGATTTTGATTGTTGGGTTGAATATTGACAAGAGAATCAATGATGGCTGTGGTGACTTTTCTTGATGATGTATAATAGGATGCTGTAGCATGGACCAAAATTACTTTAGCTCACTATATCATTTTAAGGCCATAATTAACAGTGTAGAAAGTGGAAAAACAGGGAAGAGAACCCAAGTGCGGAAAATGACTTTAGATTTATTTTATTCTTCATAATTAAAGGACTTTGTCCCCTATTACTTTATTATTGTTTGGTTTTACACAAATTGGGCACTCTTGTCTCCTTCATTTTAATTTGTAAGTGAGGTTGTAAAAACAATATGTGGCTAAGTATGAACTTGAAAAAAGTCAGAATTTTTGAGAGGGTTAGTAGAGCAGACTGTTACAAAAATATGGAATGCTAAGCACAATAAGTAGCCACCCACGCTGGCGCATGACTGTAATCCCTACTGGTTGCAAGGCTGAGGCAGGAAGTTCATAAATGCAACTAGGCCTCTGCAACTTAGAGATCTAGAAAGATTCTGCGTCAAAAGTAAATTAAATAAAAGTAAATTAAATTCCTATCATTGGAAAGAAACAAAATTTAAGGAACTCAAGTACCAGCCCACAATGCAAATCAGACATTAATTGTCATTACTTATGTGTATACACACAGGCTAGATTATCATTTTATGAAAAATGAATAAAACAGCTAATTGTCAGAAAATTTTTTCCAGTTTTGTTTTATTTTGATGATTTGTTTGTATCACCTCTGCTTACTCAGAAATTACTATAATGATGATTAACTTAATAACATGGGGAATATTTACTTATAAAGTGTGTGTGTATGTGTGCATGTGTGTGTGTGGGCATGTAGCATGTTATCCATGAGGAAAAAAATACACTGCATAAATCATTGGAAGATAACGGAAAGTGATGGACGACACAGGACAGCAAATGGACAGACTGGACAGCAGTCCAGCAAAGTATGGAGAGCCCATCATCTCAGCAGAGAGCTGTACAGGTCAGGATATGGCAGATTAAGTGGAAAGAGAGATGAAGTTGAAATGAAATAAGTTCAAACTAGTACCTACACTTTTCTTTCCCTGGTAAGAGAGAGAAAAAAAAATCGCATCATATTGCTTTTAAAGCTACAATAGTCATCTGAAAGAGCAAACTCATCTAAAACAAGAGAAGAAGAACTGGGTTAAGGGAGAAAAGAGAGCAACAACACAGTTCTGCAATTAAAACAAAACTCTTACAAAGAAAATCAATAAAGTGGAAGACAAAGATGTAAAGATCATCATACAAAACCAGAAACCACATATAAAAATTCCAACAGAGGAAACAAGCACACCAACAGAGAATGAATAAAAGCAAATGTCCCATGCCAGGACTGGATAAAGAGGCTCCCTTTTGAAAGGGGATTTCACCATTTAGCCTGTGAACCACAGAAGGCTCATCTTAGTTATTGGTATGAAACTGAACTAAAATTAGAGTGTAAGAAAATTCAGAGAATTGTCATGCAAAATCCATATCACTCATAGAGAGGAGCACACTGTCGTTCATTTGTCTTACCAACTCTGTTGGCAGTTCAAATATGAAAGAAAAACACCTTCACAAAACTGAGAAAAAATTTAATTCCAAGGAAGATATAAGTACATAGGTGAGAACTACAAAGTAGGTGAGAAAATGAAAGGGAAATTTTCAAGCAAAGAGTACTTTATAAAATGATCCCTCTCCGCATACTTTGTGTTAGAAGGCAACTGAAACTGTGTACTACATTTTAGACTTTAGTCATAAATTGAAGACCATTTCAGATATAAAGCTTGCATATTTATATCTACTTTTAGGAATTCTGTTTTTATTCAATCATGCTAAACTTTGATTCCATCTTAAACCAGCTAACTAATAGTAAGCTTATATCAACCTTTATTTGCCATTTGGAAATACAACAGTTACTGAGGCATTTGCAGAAATGACTCTATGGAATATAATATTCTTCTTATTTTTTCTATCTATCTTTTATTTTCCTCTTTGTATTAAATCACGGGTCTAACTATTTTAATATTCTTTTTATTTTTCTTCCAGTGCACAGGGTTAACTTCCAACTTTCTGAAGAATTTCCACTTAAACAACAATGGTTTTCTTGTTGCGATGGAAGTGGTGAACTTTAATGCGTGATCCGTGAAATCTGTAGAGCAAATATTTTGAAGTAAATGTTGTGAGGATCTCAACAATTCTTAACATTTTATATAATCAGTATGTAAATTACTTAATGACTTTCAAGTGAGTGTAACTAAAATTTAGGAGTCAAGAAATTTCTGGGGAATCTGACATGATATAAGTGATACAGTTAATTTCACCAGTGTTAGTGGAACACTGAGAGGGGGGGGTGCTTGCTCCATAAGATATTTTTAATGAAAAATAGCATTTGGCATAAAAGAAATTTTCGGTTACTTGTAGTGTATCAATTGCAATGTTTGACTTACATGTGTTGATCTAATATTTATTTGACCATGAAGGAAATATTTTCGACATATATGATTACTGTATATGTTACTTATAATATGTACAAATATACTTCCTTAACAATAAACATGCAGGGAAATGAGAAAATTATGACTTAATACTAACATTAAAAATTACCTAGATGAATTCCAAACAACTATATAACGCTATTATTTGAATAAAGGACAATGACTCTATTGTAACTAAAAATACACAAACACTACAAATATTGAAAGAGTAAGTCTAGTGATTTACTTAGCATAAAAGATATCCCGTATTTCCAATGTATGAGCATCAAAAATATTTTCCTAGCAATGTAAACTTTGAAGATTCCCACTGTATCTAAAGTATTTCTAAGCAGTTTTTCTTCAAACATATTTCTTTTTGCATTTGTAAATTAATTGCTTTTCGTGTAGACAATCTGCATGGAGCTATGGAATAAATTCCTATGCTGAAATCCTAATTTCTAGTACCTCAGAGTGTGACTGTGTTTGGGGCAGTGTGTTTAAAGGTGAGGAAGTTCACAAGAAGCCACACTCACAGGTCCACTACTAATCGAACTGATGTTCTTGTAAGCAGAGAAATGAGAACACAAGCAAACACAGGAGGACCACATGAAAACAGTAAATACGGCCGCCTGCAAGCCAGCTAGAATGGCCCCTATCAGGGCACTCACTCTGTGATAGTCTGTTACAGTAGTCTAACAAAAATAAAGGATAGTAGTGAAAAAATTAAAGATGAAGACATTAAGGAAATGATTTTTGTTGTCATGAACTAAGGCCTGCACATTTCATATTTTTGCTTAGCATCATAAGCGTGTGCTTTGAAATGACCTCCCACCCGACTTCTCTTTGCAATGTCGTAGAATTTGTTGGCTGACTGCATGTAGAGGCGGTTACACTACCTAGCAAAATGCAAATGTAAAATGCAATGGAATGGCTTCTGACAAGAATCATTGTGTTTGTAGAAAGCGCTCTTGTGTATCAACCTTCTTCAGGAGATTATTCATCCTTCTGGAGAGAACCACGTTGCTTGAGGAAAACCACAGAGTATCACTGTTTTTCTTCTTGACATGAGCTTTTTAAAAATTTTATAGAAGTGGTTTCTAAAACATGTTATTCTGAAAGCTGTTTAAACTACATGGATATCAAAACACGGTTTCCATGGCTGAAACAAAAGCAACTTTGGGGAAAGGAATGGAGAAAAATAAGTGCACTAGTCATCCCCGATCAGAAGGAAAAGGGAGTCAGCAACTGGGTGACACCAAAAAAGGGGGAGAGATGCAGATTCCCAGGGACCCTGCCACCGCATCCACACAGGCCGGATATTGGAAAGTGAGCATTTATGAAACAATAATGCTGAATAAATACTGTCTGTGGGATATGGATTTCAACTCTATTTTCTCATATGTGAATTTTTATCTTCACACCCTTGCATGTTCAGTATGTTCATAGATGTTTTATAAGTACAGCAAGATACTGTCCACATCTTTTGCAAGAACCTATAAGAAAATCTACTCTATAGTGTCAGTGTTTCAGTAGTTACTTGTCTGGTCATAATACTGAGAAAATATACTACTTTATAATCAGTCCATTCCTTTTGTGTGATGTCCAGTTGTGGTGTACAATCTACTTGAAAGCAAAGTAAATACAAATTAATAATATACCAAAAATCTCATATTTCTCAGCAGCTTACATCGAATCAAAAAAGTTGTGTACCAGATGACTGTAAAGGAATTCTTGCACATGAGACAGGAAAGAGATAATGCTGAGCTCAGGTTTAAGAAACCTGTGTTTACAAACTGAAATATACCTCAGTAAAATAAGTGGACCAGCTGCCTGATTTTGCATTTGTGTTTCTTTTAGGCTCTACTCATTGGATTTAACTTTCTGAAGGCCTTGATTTTCCCTTTGTTAAGTAATAAGTGATACAGATTTGTGAGCATATTATAAATCTAGCCCAGGCTACTTGATGTGTATTTTCTTTATATATCTCATCAAAAAAATCCCTAAATTGTAAGGAACTCTGATAAGCTGTGATCAACACTTTTTCCCATGTTGAAGTTTAAAAAAAAAAACAAAACTATTTTTTCCTTAAAAACACTTTGCATATAAACACAAGCTGAAATCTTTTCTTTCAAAACAAAAATGATTTGGTGATTTTTAAAACCAATTTTCACACACAAGTTCAGTATTAAACAAAATCATTATTTATTTTAATTTGGAATTTGAGCCCTGAGGCCTCTCTTTATAAAGAGGGATAGTTTATTTATGTTTGTAAATGTGTAGTTTTTGGGAAAAAGTAATAGTTTAATTAATTTGCATCTTTAACATGAACTAATGCTATGATCAACCACTGTTTTAGAATCCATTACTTACATACTGAATTTGATATTATCACATTTATTTCCATTTTTGGAAAGTGTAGGAAAAACAAACGTGTCTTGGCATACAGTTTAGGAGACAAAAGCCGTTTAATTATACAAAGATAGAGTTCTGGAAGAGTTCTTGTTTATTTCCGGAAAGGAATGGGAAGAGTCAGCGTGCTGCTATTGCTCCTGGGCACAGAGAGGGTGTCTTTGTTTTGCTCCTCTTTGTCTCTGAATCCTGCGGCGCCATCACAGCGGAGGGTAGTGTCCACCACTTTAAATGATAAGAGTTTCAATAGGCACTTTAGTGGAATTAAGAACAATCTAACACTCTTCCACTGCGATGCCACAGAGTTACCTTCATTCTAGGTTGTCATGTCAGTCAGTTGTACACAATAGGCCTGAGCTTGTCTCAGTGTATTTCTGAAATAAGAAAACAAAACAAAGCAACTGTATGTTATAGGATTTATCTTGTGTCAGCAGAATGAACCAAAACTGAGGAACTGACAACATAATTATAGGAACTTGCTAGAAACCAGATAATCAAAGGAATCTTGTCTATGAAGCCTGTGTGTGTGTGTGTGTGTGTGTGTGTGTGTGTGTGTGTACATGTGTGTGAGTTCTGTTTGTCATTTTCTTTTTGTTGTTGTTGTTAAAATGTCTCCTCTCAGGTGTGTCAGCCTTCACCTCGCCCCTAAGTGACTTTATCAGGGTTATAGCTCTCTTCTTCTCCAAACATGTCTGCCAGGACTTTGAAGCGGGGTCCCCAGTCAGCCAGGTAGTCGTAGTCCTGGTCAGCGTCTGTGGTGAGAGAGTCTATGGAGCTGAGCGACTCTGCCGTGGACCCGTTTCCCTCATAGGCATATGTGGCCAAGGAGTCATAGGGTGGTGCAGTTGGGTCCCCATCATTGTCCTGCAGCCTTTGATTGATGAAATCCCTTATGTCCGTGTTGTCTTCCACAGGTGGCCTCTGACGTGGTAAACAGAGAGAGTCTGGTTTAATATCCCTGCGAATTTTGTTCTCTTCAATCACTTTTGGATTTCGCAGAGCCCCGATGTCAAAGGCCTGGGTGTCCTCTTCCCCGCCACCCTCATCATCATAGTGGATGACATTGTCTCTGATGTCTTCCTTAGAGGTCATCAGGGTGTCTTTCTTCTTCTGCCTTCGCAGAGCTACATAGAGCACAACTATGGCTGAAACAAGACAGTACAGTAACTTGAGCAGAATGCAGAGAAGTCATTCTGTGTCACCATAAGATTGAGCAGGGCTGACTGAATTGCTTTAATGATCCACTATTATTTGATATATTACCCACCCCCCTACTGGGGACTGAATTTACAACCTGGAGCTTGTTAGGCAGGCACTTGTGCCATGAAGCGAAATTCCTGACTGCATCATACTATTATTTTCAAAGTAAGCATACTGTAAGATTATAACTATGCTGATTTTTTTTTTTTTTTGTACCAGGGATCAATCTTACAACCTTGTGCTTGCCAGGCAGGCACCTGTGCTGATGAGATTTATCCCCGGCCCCATGCTGCATTTTTCCCTTGTCTAGAGTCATCTTCATTTTGGAGCCATAAAAGAAATTCAGTAAAGTTATTTTCTGTTTATTTTATCCAAGCACTTCTATACAATTTAGATGAAAAAAGACTGTTTTTTGTCTTTTTGTTTTTTCCGGGGAGTTTTTTGGTACTAGGGATCTAACTCATGACCTCACTGTCACCAGGCAGGCACTTATACTGCTTAGCTAAATCCCCAGCCCAGAATGCTTTTTAAAAATTATGAAAAGAGAACATAATGATTGTTCTAATTATACCTAACTGTAAAAATTTATATAATAAAATTGAACATTATATATTGTAAGTACAACAGAAATGTCAGTGATAGCTAATTTTCCACTTGTATTATTTCTCAATTGGATATTACATATTTCCATCTTTAATTAAATAACTCAAATACTCTGTGAAATAATGAGTTTTAAAAGGAATATATTAGAGAGAAAGATGAAGAAAAAAAAAGAAATGGAGGGAAGAAAGAAGGAAAATAAAGTAGAATATAAGGACTATAATTTAATAAATCGTGTGACAAAAGATTTCTGATCTTTGTAATTCTGTGTATTTGCTATTGTAACATTTGGTTAACCTCATGGAGCTAGATAATATTTTGAAATAATTGATACACTTTCGTGTTTTTATTCCTAGTTAACTCAGTGCTCTCCATTAAGTTGATGGGTTTTATTTCTCATTTTCTGATTTTATTTTTAGGGCATATTTGCAGTATACAATGATCACATTCCTTGCAGGGAGCTCATCTGTATACATATCACACATTAATTCTCTTTTCATCCCTTCTCCCATCCCCTCTTCTCTTGGTCTCCCTGTGCCTTTTATCTATCTTTATTTCACACTTTAATTTGTCTATACTTAGGGTGCTCGTTACTCCGAAAGGAAGATGAGCCCAGAGACTAGCAGTAAACTCTGCTCAGCTTTGCTCCATGGTATCTCACTTGCACAGTGATGGAGGTAAGATAAAAGCAGTTTCCTTTGCCCACCATAATTTGTAAGATATCTGTCAGTGGATTAGAACAGAGAGAAGTCTTGAAAGTAAAAGTGCTCGCGTTCCCTTTTCTTCTCAAGGGAGTTGGGTCAATCCAAGGGAGGAAAGAAAGCTGGACAGCACGTCTATGCAAAAGGCCTTAGAGAAATGTGTGGCACTCTGCCCTTTGCCCAGAGCACAGGGAATCCCAAAACTGAAGAGACCATTGTTTGATTATCCAGAGTGTGTGAGAGATGCCACAGCTCGTGGAGGAATCCTGCATAGAAAATATTGCCATTCTTGATGTGTCCAAGGACCACATAAAAGAAACTGCTAGATGGCATTGTTCCCATGATTCCATTCTCTGTGGGAAGGATGTGAAAATGAAAAGCCTAAGAATTCTGTGTTTGGTAAACAAATTGAAGGACTACAGAAGTTTTATGGTGGACACCATAGGAAGATAAAAACAGACAACAAACAACAGAGTGTGGAAGGAATCTACACTACCTGAAATGATTAGGGTGCACTTGCACATGTGACTTACTGAGGTAAATGAGTGTACTACAGGAGTCACCGCACCAACATCCTGAGCTGGAAGACGGACTGACTCAACATATGAGGGCAAGTAAGCCAAAGATCCAGACCCAGAATTTGCCCGGTCTTGTTAAATTTGTAGGGAGTGCTGGGGGGTGACCGCTACCACAGAAGGGAAGCAAGTGGGAGCAGGATATTGATTTGAAGTAAAACACCCAAATCAAGCACAGCTGTAAATATGCAGATGTTATTTTCACTGTGTCTTTTTGAAGTTTAAAGCATCTGAAAAAAAAAAAAAAAAACAGATGGGAAGGATGATTTATTATAAATTATAAGGACATCAAGCACGCTTTGTTCTGTGCTCCAAATATCTCGGTGCAGAATTAATAGCTGCCCTATGCAAAGTGAACTGGAACTTTCTTGTCCAAGTCAGTGTGACTGTCTGGCTCTGCATAGTCTCCACAGTTATCTGACGTCGTCCTCCTGCTTCCCTTTGTAGTATTTGTTTTTAAAATTCCGTTTTCAATCCTAGAGATGAAATTAGATGTTGACAGGTGTCACAATACTTTTGGTTAGATAGTGAGTATGCATATGTAATTGATACCACAATAGTCCTATTTGTTGTACATTGATTGGAAAGGAAATACTGGCAAAATGCATCACATGGACATGGCAGCGAAACCATGACTGATGGAAAAGCTGAGCAGAGTTGACAGAAGAGAGAAACTCCTAATCTAGTTTTGCATTCACTTACAGAAAGGCTACAGAATACACTGACTTCTATCCCTTTTCATTACAATAATTTTAGATATTTTAGTACACCCTATTCTGTAAGAGTAAAATAGGATTTTGGAGTGGGATGTGGGGAAAGTAAAATTACTTCTGGCTGGCAGTTTGAACAGAACAAAAACAAATTTGAAGTTCTTTTACACTGTATTTCATTCCTGTCTTTTTTCCAACCTTTGGAATTGGATTTTTGAACTATTTTGCATCAAGTATACATTTTTAAAGATGACATAATCATGTAGTAGATGATCATGTAATAGGCTTTAGTGATTACTGAAATGTAAAATAAGCAAAGAAATATTTTAAGTGCAAGATGATTATAAGAATTTCATTGTGCCAAAGGCCAAAATTTAAAAATTTCTCTAGAAGTTATGTGAACGTATCCTGTGTTTGATAATGTTATTCATTAGTTACAAAATAGAAAAGTAATCCATAAAATTTAACTTAGGTTTAACTCAAGATCTAGATGATCTTTTATTTAGAGGTGGTAGGTCAGTGAAAATGCTCATTTATAAAGTACACTGCAGAATGAAACAGACAGATAGGAGAGAAAGATGAGAAGAGGAGAGGAAAAGTAGAAGAGAGAAGAGGAAGAGATAGGGGACAGAGAGCAACAGAGAGAGAGGACTAATATTTAAACCAACCTAAAAGTATAACAATGCACAGAAGGATTGCGATCAAGGCCCCCGTGCTAAGTCCTACAGGTAGAAAAATCGCTTCCACATTGCAGGACAGAATGGTACCATCAGAGTCGCATCGGCAGACTCTGATAGTCATTGTGTTCGTGCTGCTTTGGACCGGGTAACTGCTGTCTTCTATTACCACAGGCAGGAAATACAACTCTTGCTGCCTGCGACTGTATCCGTTTCTTCGGGTTTCAATTCCAGCTGTGTTGTCTACAAAACAGGACATTTACGATGATATGGTTAACCTGAGCATCATTCAAAGGCTTACATTTGGTATCTAACAAACAATAGGAAGCTCTTGAGTTAGTAAAATGAATTCTTTAATGATTCCTTTTAACTTTATGAAAGACATCAAAAGGCAATAAATGTAATTAAAATATATCTTGAAGAAAGAAGAATCATTGATCTTGACTGGTGTAAGAAATAAATTTTCTTTTCAGAAAGAATATATGATGATTTTAAAGACAAGAAGCTATTACATTGCTTTATATTTTTCTGCTGTCAAAATCTTACTGAGAAAACAATCTACTTTTTGCATGTTCTCAGACGTATCACTGGAGGAATAACAAAGCATGAATATATAGATATTTTACATAAAAATCTGTTCTTTAAAATATATTAATAGTCAGTTGACTGCCTCATATTAAAACTTAGTTTCTCCTGTCATTATTTATGCATATAAATAATGTAACCTGGATATATATTTTTCCATAGATTCCACAAAAGAATATTATATTTGCAAAGAAAAGATGTACAGAGAAATTATTTGGAAAGAAAACATGTATATATTGTTATTATTCCCTAAACAACAAAATTAACAATTATTTATATAACATTCATATAGTATAATAGTCTAATGATAATTTAAGGATCTAGCAGCTTTGGCATAGACTGTATGCAAACACTGTAACTTTTTATATAAGAAATATGGGTATCTATATATTTTTGTATCCACAGATGGTAGGGATTTCTGATATGAATCCATCCTGAATAGCTAAGAAAGACTGTATATGCATGTATGAAGTTTTCTTGTGTTTTCACTTTTGTGGATCAGAAAATGGAAGGAGCATGGCAAAAATGATATATTATTTAAAAACAAACTTTCATTAAAATTTGTGTGCACAATGAGTTACAATACCTACTACATTAGTGTAATGACACTAATGTAATGACAAAATTAAATATATGTTTAACTAAGTCAAGAGTAATGTTAGGAATGTGTTATACTGTAAGACAATAAAAATTATAATTTTATATTTATTCAATCAATATTCCCATTGAAAGTAACAGGTGTTTTATTTCATTCCTAATGCAACTTTATTTTTGAGCCAATTAAAATAATTTCTACAAAAAATTTGTTATTTTAAAAATATACAGCATTTAGTATATTACACTCATGCATGATTACAAATTAGGAATAATTTTAAAAATTAGAAAAGTGTGCTACTCAGGACACTGTAGCTTAATATTTCAATCATGTTTTATTATTGCATTTGTACTCTCCAAATTGAACAATCTGAATTTAGGAACCTTGTCTTCATTCATTGCAATAGAAAATACCTTGTTGTGAAAACAATACGTAACATGATGAGACCTTCCTTTGCTAGGATAATGTGCTATGGTTACAGACAGGCTGTTTACAAACTGAGAAGCAAGAGATTATACTATTCTCTAGTAGATTCACTGAGGGCTAATGCTTATGGTGATAAAAGATGGAAAATGGGGACCGAAGTAATGTTGAAATCATTAACACTTGATTGTTAATATTTGATGATTAGGGAAAGGAACAGAGATTAAGTTTGCAACCTGATGAACATTATGGACAGAATTTTGATGTGTTCTTGATTAGAAAAAGCTGAGATTATTTACTTTTTAGTTTTTCAAAAGACAACCTAGCCTCAATTTAAAGTTTATTTTCAATGTATTTATTATTGAGAATTGATAATACGAAATTTATTGGCAGCTGGATAGATGGTCACATCATCCAGTAAAGATAAGTGTCAAATATCTCCTACACGTATAGACGGAAGGGTCTACATCGGGATAATCATGAAAATATGTGTCACGGAGCACAGTGCTTTCTCACAGAAAATTTATTATAACTTTAATCTTTCACTACACAACATTATAAAATCAGCCGTCTTAGTTCTTGTCTCATAGAATATAGAAGTTTAGAGTAGATAAAATGCAAAAAGTCACAGAACTAACACAGCCAGGGCAACTAAGACTCAACAGATCACACATACACCTTAATTTAGACACTAAGTTCCCAACATTACAGTGGGTCAGGATATTATTTTTTGGCTTCACAGTGGTATGGAAGGTTACCTATGCCACCACTGTTTCTCTTTTAGTGGTACTTAAGATCTTATGTGAGTATTTGATGCTTTTTTATGAAATAGGCTTTGTATTGAAGACTTTCCTCATCCTTAGGTAAGTGTGTTTTGAGCACATTTAAGACAGAGCAAGCTATGATACTCAGTAGGTTACACATAGTGAATATGTTTTCAGTTTAAGGTGTTTTAAAATTTTTGATGAGTTGTTAGATGGAAGCCATAATCACTGAGTAAGGAGTAGCTGGTTTCTAATGAAGTTTTTTTTTTTTTTTTTTTTTTTTTTTAATAGGCAGTAGTTTTAATGAAAATAAATTTAATAGTATTAGTAAAAATGGTGGCAGAAAGTGTAACAAAAGTATAAGAGTAAACACAGTGGCAGAAGTGTTATCTGAAACAACTGTGACTGCTGCATATTTTAGACATTGTGTTACAGCATATGAAGGTATAATTCTACCACAAATAGTGTGAAGCTGACATTCTTTAGTATAACTGTACACACTAAGAGTATGCCAGTCAGGTGGTGTGGAATGAGACTGCTGGCCTTTGTCATTCTTATTGCAATGCTCATACTCATAAGCTCTATTGAGCAGTGTATTATTCAGACAAAACCATTTCTATACTCTTAACTACTTGTATTTACAAGTAAATTGCTTCATGTAAAACATGTAAAATAAATGATATACTTAAAGCAAGTCTATTTTCTTGACTGTTTAAGAGATTGTCTCCTTCTATAATGAAAGTGTGTATTTTACTAGAGACCATCTAGATGGATCAGGCATTTCATACTGCCCAAAAGATTTTTGATTTCTCGTGGAGGGTTTCCATACTTCAGGAAATGGAATGCTTTGAGGTAAAGCATCAATTCCTGGTGTTTGCGCCCTTATACTTGAGAAGAAGTTCATCTTTATGGGGTTATACTTACTCCTGAAATCGCGGACTGTGAAATTTGGTTTGATGGCAGCCTCCGGTGATAATCTAAAGGAGAACTGCTGCCCAGAGGGTGAGAGATCGCGGTCTGCAGCACTGACTGTCTGAATGATCTGAAAGAGTTTTGAGACGAAACTTGCAGTCAGTCATCAGCTTCAGAGGGAACTTACACAGTGGACTAATGAATTTAATGCAAGTAGACAGCAATAAGTCTTCTGAATGGATATGGAGCAGGCAAATTATTTACACATAATTTTTATAAATGATTCTTTAAACACTAACTGGTAATAGTGGCAGGTACAATTATAGGACATGGACTAATTTTAAATCAATATGTGCATAATAAAAAGACTTACCAGCATTGCTAATTCTCACTAATAAAACAAAACAAATTAAAATGCACTTGCTTGCATTGAAGATCAGAAGAAATATATGCTTTCTCCCTAAAATTAAAAATGCTTATTCGAAACAATATCTGATTGTCGAAAAGTCCTTGCAATAGCAAGACTTTTGTAACAATTATGTTTATGGAAATGTTTTATTTTCATAAACAAAGCGATGAGAAAGAAAACCAAAAAGATTTTCATTTTATTTCTTTTTTTTCTTTTCCAATTTTCTGGGGAGGAAAATGGCAATTAAAAAAATACAAGTTAGTTTGCTTTTTTTTAATTTCAAAAAGTTCTCTAACTTGGTCCCATACATTGTATATCTTACAGTTAAAATCTGGGTACTTCAGGATGATATCTGTAACAAGGTAGACACAAATTAACTCATGAAAATTAAACTATAGAATTTATAATTCACTACACAAGTAAGCATACTAGAATATCTTTCTGTCATTTTGTCTTTTTGTTTTTTGAGATAGGATTTCACCATACAGTTCAGGTTGGCCTGAAACAGTCTTCTTTGCTCACCCTTTGCGTGATACAATATTTTTAAATTAAAATATTCAGTAACTATGTCAGATAGCATTTCCAAAAGTTTATATGGAAAGATAAAAGTAGATAAACTATTCAAAAATCCTTGAAATTAATTAGAAATTTCCAAAGGAAGACAGATTTCAAGTATGTTAGACTGGCCTCAGGGCATAAACAGCACATTGTATCATTGTAGGTTGTTGCCACTAAATTTGTTCCATATTCTGCTTTTTGTTTGCATTTGTAATTATAATTCAATGTCATGACTGTTGTCTACATCTCCATATAACTGTGCACATGCAATGGTATATAAAGGATGCAAAATAAATATTATAGGTATCATTTGGAAATTCAGTATCAGTGTATTAGTGGTAACTTGATAATTAGAAATTAATTGGTCCTCTACTAAGAATTAAAATTCCTTGTCTTACTATGAAATTAGTTACATACAATTGATTTATCTTGTAAAGTGGCCAATGGTTAGACTGCCACATTTCTGCATTAAAGACCCCATCCGTCATGCTCTTTGTGAATGCAGGTGAGCAAAGCAGAAAAGCTTATGAGACAGAAAAGCCATTATGACAAGCGACAATTTAGTCAAAAAATAATTATACAGACCCTATTAAACTTCAACTTCTATTTACTTAGGCCACTTTTCTCAGATCACACTGTTTCACTCACACAGTTTTTGTATGTTATGTAGGAATCAATATCTGGTTGACCAATCTAGCAAGCAGTATATAACATCAAAACTAATCATCAAGGCTATAACTTGAAGGAGAGCCTTTTAGGATTTCAGAAAGCATAAACACCTACCTGGAAGTACTACTCTAGAGTCTCTGTCCTAAAGAAAAATCTCCCATACAGATCTTGCCAGATCTACATAGCACCATTTCTCATCCAGTTCTTTCCCTCCTTTTCTGATAGATATGCACATTCAAGAACCATCACTAAGAAACAGAGGATTCCTATGCATAGTTCTAATGCCAGAGGCACCAAGAGAGGGAGACTGAAAATGCAAAACCCAAGGCCATTTCAGGGCTATACTTCCTGCACAAGTGTTGCCAAGGAGAGCACACAAACTCAGACACTAGAGTCTCACATGAACCAAAATTAGTTCATCTCTAGAAAATTCTCCATTTTCTTTTTCAGGTGAAAAAGATTTTAAAAATGCTCTTTTTAATGAAATCAAAATTTAAAATATTAATATTTACTTCTATTAAGAATTAGCAATTATCAAACTTACTCAAATAATTCATCCTGGTTATAGGTGAAATACACAGTAATTCAGTGCACATCAACATATCCTCCTGTTAGAACTTAGGTACACAGTGTTAGATTAATCATATTCTTGTTTTATGATACACTTTTCTCATATACACATGTTTAATTCTCCTTGTGTCATCATTCATTTTTTCACAGGAGAGTAGGAGAAAACAGGAAACCTGGCTATCCACCTTGACTCTGTAGAAAACTGAAGACTCTGGCAATCACTTTTAGTAACAACTTGATCCCATTTTAGAGCATCACCACAAAAAGAAACAAAACATAACCTAATGGACATAGTTCATATCAGGTATTTTAAATAGCACAGATGTTTTTAATACACAAAAAACTTTATCTCCCTCCTCAATAGGCTTACAGCTCCGTCATGCTCTTTGTGAATGCAGGTGAGCAAAGCAGAAAAAAAGAAAAACGGAAAAAGGCTCCTCAAGCTCTGCTTCTTGAGATTATAGTCACAAGTTCTTCAGAAATTTCACAATGATAATGTAAGAAAAACCCACAGAATCAACAATTCTAGATCTCTAATGATCCAAAGAGCTTTGATTAGGCAACCAAGACTTCCTCCCCTTAACATGTAGGCCATTAAATCTGGCCATTAAATAATATGAGTTTAGTACTGTACGTGGTTTACTTCATAAACAGTTTTGATCCAGAAAAATAAATACCATATATGTGGATGTATTCTTGTGTGGGTTTATGAGTTAATACACACACATAAATCTTTACCCATTCTAATTAACAGTTTTGGCAAGATACCTGTCCTGGTTTGGCATTTTCACAGACCGCTGTCTCATATGGCACAGATATTTCTGGTGGAAATTCATTGACATCTAGGACATTAATCAGTACGTTGACTTTGCTGGTTAATAATGGGTTACCTGTTAGAAACATTAAAGGATAAATGATGGTTATCAATTTTTGCTTCTTAAAGAGGATTTATTTCTAATTAGTCTTCATTAGTGAAAAACACCTTTACTATAATAAAAATTCTGAAAGTTCTGACTACAAGAAGATAACAGGATTAATAACTGAGGTTTTGATGATAAGCTGTCCAAGCATTAATGGGGAATAATACAAAGGCTCATCCCAGAAACCAACTGCCAGATAAGACCAAACATTAAAGCTGATGCTCTGTACTAGTAAGGCCTAAAGAATGAGTTAATCATTCTATCAAATTTTCTTCAGAAACAATCTTCATTAATAGTTTTATTTTTTCTGCACACAAAAATTTAGTTTTCTATTCTAAGTCAATATCATGGAAAGTTCACTGTCTGAAAGATGCTACTTATTTAAATGGTTCTAGAAAGCTAGAATACACCTTGAAATTATTTGCTGGTGATAAGAAAGGAAAGAATAGTAGTAACTTCTCCTGCAACAACACAAGTACCACCAAGAGGATCTCTCTGCTCAAATCCTATCACAGGTTTTGACTCCAGAATAATGGCATAGTGTCTTCATCTCTGCCATTTATTGAAGCCTAAAAATAACTTAAAAAACAAACTACAGAACAGCATAACACATGTATTTAACTCATTAAAACTAATATTTTACCTTATATTTTTTACACATGAATGCATTTTGAAGATCCTGTTCATAATACAGAGATTGAAGAATGGAGTTACAGTGCAAATCCAAGATTATGAAAACCCAACAATTCTGTATACTTTCTGTATTGATTGATTCTATTGGGTCGTGGGAGATTAAAAATTATCTTGCAACAGTCCACTGATGTCAAGGTCCAACACTGTGCCTGTATAAGTATTAAAACCTGTCTTCTTATCTCTTTGATGCAGTCTTTGTTTTGATTTTATTTCACTTGGGTATTTTCCCACAACTGTATTACTTAAAATTTCTTATTATCCAAAAGGTATTATCTTATTTCATGTAACAATTGGATCTGAATTGTGTGAGTTATTTAACCCTTCTTAATAATTATTTAACTAATGTATTTGATAAAAAAAGACACAGTATTTATAGACTACGCTTCAAAGGTAGTGGTATATAACGACACAGTGTTTTAAAATATTCAATACAGTTTTATATACATTGTTACTGCCATTATTAGTATATTCTAAAGATTATATAAACAGCCATTTTAGTGATACTTATAATTTAATTTATACAGAGTAAAATATAGAGAAATATAGGTCATATAGTGTAAAACGTAGGAAGTTGGTTAAACTAGGCTCACTTTTCTAAAGAAACTGGAAATCAACAATAGTACTAAAATTAATGCCTAATGCCTGTGTGATGACAAGCCAGTAATCCAAACAGGAAAGGTGGGGCAGAAAGATCTCAATAATGCTTTCAAAGTACCACTGTGATAATACCGTGCATAGATTAATTCAGAGTTCATAGAAAATACAGAATAGACATTATTATTATCTCTTTATTTGTGCAGTACTCTGATGAGAAGGGAAAGTATGCTTTTTTCTAAAATATAGAGGAACAGGGGGCTGGAGGTTTAGCTCAGCGGCATAAGCGCCTGCCTTGCAAGCAGGCAGTCGTGAGATCGATGCCTGGTACCAATAAAAACGAAAAAGACATATATATATATATATATATATATATATATATATATATATATATTAGTTATTCCAATAAATTCCAATATATATTCCATATATATATATATATATATGAACAATATAAATTTAAAGTAGAGGAGTTATGGCTTCTCATTTCATGGTTATAAATTTTATCACATATTATTAGTAAAACAAATAAGTTAACAGTCAGATAACTATTTTTTACAAAAGACAACAAGTTAAAATTTAGATGAGACTTTTATCACTAGCATGTGTAATGAATATTCTGCCTCTGGATGGTGAGACAATGACTACTTTCAGTTTTATGTGGTAAGCAAGGTGCAAGCCCTGAAGTCCCATGAAGGACAGATTTTCTCTGTTACTTATCAAGAATTAGTGTTTGAGTACATAAAGTTGCATTAGAATAGAATATTTTAGAGGGAAAATGTTTTCTTTCTTAAAAATGTATTTTAGCAATTTGCTTTCAAAGTATAAACATGTTATTAAAATACATTTAAGCCTATTTTTATCAAAAATTTTCTTTTGTTCACTTTAAGCTATCCATTCACTTGAAATGTAGTTTAAACTTGACATCAACAGTAAATCATCACAAAAGTTATCATCAGTATCATGATATCTCATTATTAATAATGTTTCTCAAAAGAAGGCATGAAGCATTTTAAGGAAGACCAATCTTTGCTGTGAGAAACTCTCCTATGCATTGTGAAATATCTCTATTTATGAAAAGTTAAGTATGGTAGGCATTGGAACAACTAAAAAATAATTCAATCAAGGACAGAAGAAAAATAATAACAACACATACATATTGCTGAATATGAGCAATGGTTTAATTATGATATTCTCTCTTGTATTACATATTTAAATTTTTTTCATAATTGCACGTTTAAAAATGTCACTTTATTTCTCAGTGCCAGCTAATGCAGCAATAATGTCTCTGAGTACAGAACTCAAAGCACATTGAATTTCTGTAGACAGTATATAATTTATGAGAGTAAAGTGGCATTCTTTCATATAGATGTATAATTTGTCAAATTGTCCTATAAAAACAATGATCTAGTTCCATTCTGATTTGTATAATCTATACTGAGTCTGTACAGCACCAATGAAGTTGATTTAAAACTGATTTAGAATCCATATCTTGATCAAATTATTTGACAAAATACCATACAATATTTAGTTTTCATGGAATGATTATAAAACCAATACAAGTATAGATTTAGTGAATACCAAGTTAGTAAAGACATAAGCAATTAATTTAATTTTTAAAACATCAAATCTTTTACCTTACAATCATCTTTGTGTTTAAAATGAGTTAACTTACATTTTTATGTTTAAGCTAATTGACTATTTCCTACTCACATAATCAAAAAGTAATTACATGATGCTCCCAAAAATGATCTGTTAAATTTATCTCCTAATCTTGATGGTATGTTAACTCTTACAGTTCTCTGAATGAATTTGAGTTAGAACGGCTTTATTTTTTACTTAATTTTAAAGTTCAGCTTTTACTAAGGAAAAGTGTAAGTTATCAAAATTAGGAAAGAAGGGAAATACATGATTTCATATCACAAGTGAAATATGAGGAATTGTGGTAAATATTTTTATACCAAAAATTGTTAACTAATTGGACAAATTTTTATAAAAATTTATATTAGGAAAATAAATATTTTATCTAAAAAATGCAATAACATTTAGGTACAATGCAAAAACTCTACAAGAAGATTCATATTCTAAAGGCTTCACTGGAGAATTCTATCAAGTTTTAAATGACAATATTATTTTTTACAATCATTTTTAGAAAATAAATGAAGAACTAACAATCAAATAGAAACATAACTGAAAATGTAATGAAACTATATAAAGTCCTAACAAAAGCAATAGTCCTGGGAGTATAGCGCAGGGGTAGAGCATTTGACTGCAAAAACAATAGTCCTATTATATCAATCCTGCTTCCATGCTTTTCAAACAAAAGACATCAAATTTTGAATACATATAGAAGATAAAATTCAATATGTGCTATGCACTAAATTGCAACTGCAATAAATTCAGGAAATGAATCATAGACTTTTATATCAAGAAATTAAATTATAGCAGTTCAAACTGAGTAAGATATAATGACTGAATAATGCTTTCTTTGGTTTTTATCTTTAAATCAGTTTATTTTTAAATTACAAATTAAGTTATATCATGTGTAAAAAAGCTCTTTTCAAATTACAGTGGTGTGATCCGCAGCTGGACTGAGGAAGATGTAAAAAGTATTTAAAATTTTGCATACACTTATCCCAAAGTCCAATATTACCTTCAGTGTTGTTGATGATGAAACAGTCTCCAAAGAAAAACAAATCTTTAAAAATTACTTAAATCAAATTTTTCCAAGAAAACTGCAGGAAAAACATACCACAGACTTTAAAAATTTGCAATAACATTAACCTTTTTCTACTTTGAGTTTGTTAATCCTCAGAGTGAAACAAATCCTCAGTATCTGCTAGGAAATTAAGTATCTAAATGAGTAAATATACATTGCTCAGCAAGCTGAATTGAAAAGATGAAATAAGCTAGATGTGGATACTTTTACAGGAAAGCTCTCTGGATCAGGACCCACTAATACTGTAATAACATGTTTTTTCTTGAATTAACTTATAGAATATAAAACCTGAATAACTCTAGAGGCCGTGTCACTTTACACTGAATTTTTTTCCATTTTAAAATTTCTTCTAAAATGCCTGGTTTAAACTAGTCACCTCATTAACTTATTATTCTGTGGCCCAAATTTATATGAAAAGTCCTAAGCATAAGTAATCATCAGGGAGAGTCTGGGGATTTAGCTCAGCGGCATAAGAACCTGCCTTGCAAGCAGGCAGTCGTGAATTTGATCCCTGGTACTGATAAAAAAAAAAAAAAAAAAAAAAAAAAAAGTTTCAAAAATGGCAGCTTGCTAGGGGATTGGGCAGAGAGTCTCTCCGGAGAAATCGTGTTAGATGCTAGAGAGGGCCAGATGAATGGATAAAAATTCTTTTAATCAAGATGGCTGGAGGATTTAAGATCATTCTGAGACTGCGATAGCTGATAATGGGAGTCTGCAAATCCTGCGCCTTTAATGTGGCAAACTGACCAGTGGACCCAAGAGAAAAAGCTGTATTGGCTTTTGGTGACTGCAGGAAGTTGAGACCCGGGACCCCGTGAAGCAGCCAGGGCTGCCTGGCTGCACCGGAGGAGATTATGAGAAGCTCCAGAGTTCCGAAGCCGAGCACCGTGCAGTTTTATGACTGTTCCACGCTATATCGGGAATGCAGTGAAGGCAAGCAGCATAGTGTGCAGTAGACTCAAGA